GGTGATTCTTATATTTTTTGATAGTTTTCTTGCTTTTATTAAGGGCCTAATTTTTGGAGGTCTTTTTCTTTAATTTTCCTAGAAGTTTCCTTCATGCCAATTCTTTTCTTTTTTTATGGAAAGCTTTTATTAAATAAATATAAATTTCATAAGTACAGCTTTTGGATTATAGTGGTCCTTCCACCCATACCTGCCCTCCCACCCCCAACCATCCCACCTCCTATTCCCTCTCCCATCCCATTCTTCATTAAGATTCATTTTAATTATCTTTATATACAGAAGATCAACTCCATACTAAGTAAAGATTTCAACAGTTTGCACCCCCACAGACACACCAAGTATAAAGCACTGTTTGAAGACTTGTTTGACCGTTAATTCTCATAGTATAACACACTAAGGATGGAGGTCCTACATGGGGAACAAGTGCACAGTGACTCCTGTTGTTGATTTAACAACTGACAGTCTTATTTATGACGTCAATAATCACCCGAGGCTCTTGTCATGAGCTGCCAATGCTATGAAAGCCTCTTGAGTCCACAAATGCTGACATTATTTAGACAAGGCCATAAGCAAAGTGGAAGTTCTCTCCTCCCTTCAGAGAAAGGTACCTCCTTCTTTGATGGCCCCTTCTTTCCACTGGGATCTCACTCACAGAGATCTTTCATGTAGGTCATTTTTTGCCAGTGCCTTGGTTTTCCATGCCTGAAATGCTCTCATGGGCTCCATAGCCAGATCCAAATGCCTTAAGATCTGATTCAGAGGTCAGAGTGCTGTTTAGGGCATTTGTTATTTTACGAGTCTGCTTGTGTCCTGCTTTCAACGTTGGATTGTTCTCTCTTTTTTAAGTTTATCAATTATTATTAGCAGACACTTGGCCTTATTTCAGTGATCTCTTTGACACTTAATCCTATCTTTATGATCATATATGAAATTAAAATGATCACTTTACCTAGTAAGATGGTATTGGTACCTGCCAACTTAGTGGGATTTGGAGTCCCGTGCATGCCAATTCTTAATGCTGGAAAAGCATACTCTTCTTGTGTCAAACACTTGCAGAGAGAAGCTCATTGTCCTTAGTACAATATCACGTGGACAAGAACCACCAAAGGATCTCCATGACATAGTGCCTTCCAAAGTTACATAAATAATGTCTTTGCCTCATGACTCAGTACATATTGTTTTCTATTAAAATGATTTCATAATAATTCTTTCTCTAGTGTACTGCAATGATGCCTACCAGGTCCCAGCCTCCATAGTGAAGTCCCATTCTCTTCCCTACTTTGCATTTCAAGTAGTTCAATGGTAAAGAATAGAGACCATGGCTCAGTGTCAGGCCAGTACCAAACATGTTAAATGTCAAGATGTTCCCATGTGTTCCCACAGTAGCCTCCCCATGGTTGTACATACCTGGAGAGCAAGGACAGGACAAACAAGGGTATCGACACAGTCAGATGCAGTGTGTGCCAGTCATGAATGGCAAAAGCTAATCCTCCCAAGAGTATCTGCCCAATGCTGTGGGCACATAACAACAGTGTTACTCCTATATGTTGCGAGTTGGGTGATGCCCACTCTGATGCTGAAAAATATATACACAGTAATTTTAGTCAAAGGGTAAATTCAAGGTCATCTCAAGGCATAGATACAATGAAAGTCTTAAATTGTTAACTTACCAAGAATGGTAGAGTTTGACAAAACAATTATGACAGAAAATCCAGCCAAGAAGCGTAGAATGCAGAAGATGAGGAAGGTGGGAGCAAAGGTGGCACAGGTGTCCATGATGGCCGTCTGGAGGAGACACCATGTGTAAACCCCCTTCCTTCCATACCTAAGAAATAAGATTATTTAGGAAGGAAATAATGTGTGTAAAACTTGACACAAGATTTCCCATCTTCAAAGTCAGGATAAATGTTTCTTTTTTGTAACACTGCATTGGAGGCTAGTGGAATAATTATATTTGTCAACAGCAGAAATCACAGATATAATCCTCCTAGTCCATATTAGACCATTATCAACTCTCTGTCAGTCAACAATCACCAGGAAGACTTTTTCCATATGAAGCCATACGAAAGAAAATGAAATATAGGAAGTTATCCCAAAAGTTTGTTACACAAATGTACGCTTTGTATATAGTGAGTTTCTTTCTTGTGTTTAGAGCAGTGAGGAGTGAAATCAAGAGAGCTGTACTTTGTCTCTGAACGATCAACACAAAGCCTTTCAAAAAACAAAGTACTCACTAAACCAGTCCCTGGTCATAAAGAACATTGTTCTATACAAGAATCCTAATTTGTGGATTCTGTTAGCCCCTACTCCCAACAAACTATATAATTTTACAACTTAAACTACCATATATTAATTTGTTTTGTTTCTATTTTAAAAAATTGGAATAATATAACATGCGATTCTATGTTATATAATGTTTCCTGTATATTGAAGCATGTGATGATAGCTTGGTTTTCTTATTGTTGATACAAATTTGCCTGAGGGACAGGCATTACGGTGCAATGATTAAGCTGTCAGCTGGGATGCCTGCCCTCCAAGTAGGACTGCTACCTTGAGTCCGAGACATTCTGTTTCTTATGCAGCTTTCTGATAATGCATCTTGGAAGGCAGCCGATGATGGCTCGAGTTCTTGGGTGATTGCTGCACTTACGGGATACCCAGAAATATTTCTGGGCTCCTGACTTCACCCTGGTACAACCTTGGCTGTTTTGGGTATTTGGGGTATGAACCAACAATGGAAGATCTCTCTCACTTGGTAACAGCCTTTTAGTAATGCAAACAAACACAGCTTACCAAATAAATATGCTCAATCGGACTTGCCCCAAATGGTGGAGTTAGAAACGTGCCAGGGAATTCCAATACAATCCCATCAAGGTGGCATGTACCAATGACATCTCACTAGTCCAAGTGATCAATTTCAGTTCACAGTTGATCACACTGATAGGTCTAAGAGTGAAAGCGATCACACAAACAAGACTAGTGTCTGCTAATACTAACTAATAGAATCAAAAAGGGAGAGAATAATCCAACATGGGAAGAGGGATACACAGCAGACTCATAGAATAGCAGATGTCCTAAATAGCACTCTGGCCTCAGAATCAGCCCTTAAGGCATTCAGATCTGGCTGAGGAGCACATGAGAGTATTTTAGGCATGGAAAGCAAAGACACTCTGGAAAAAAAAAAGAAGACCTAAATGAAAGATCTCTGCAAGTAAGATCCCAGTGGAAAGAACGGGGCCATCAAAGAAGGAGGTACCTTTCTCTGAATGGAGGAGAGAACTTACAATTTGGCTATGACCCAGTCTGAATAAGATTGAACTCGGTGAACTCAAAAGGCTTCCATAGCCTTGGCAACTCATGACTAGAGCCTAGGGAGATTACTGACACCATAAACAAGAGTGTCAAATTGTTAAGTCAACAACAGGAGTCACTGTGTACTTCCTTCTCGTGTGGGATCTGTCCTTAATGTGTTGTCCAATGTGAAGTAATGCTATAACTAGTACTGAAACATTATTTTTACACTTTGTGTTTCTGTGTGGGTGCAAACTGATAAAATCTTTACTTAATATATACTGAATCGATCTTCTGTGTATAAAGATAATTGAAAATGAATCTTGATGTGAATGGAATGGGAGAGGGAGCGGGAGATGGGAAGGGTGTGAATGGGAAGGAAGTTATGGGGGTTAGCCATTGTAATCCATAAACTGTACTTTGGAAATTTATATTTACTAAATAAAAGTTTAAAAAAAACAAACTCATATGAATATGTCATATTTTAAAATTATACTGCTTAAAAGTGTAACATACACTTACGATCAAGAAAACTTATTCAGATATTATCTAAACTCTTTCATTCATTTGCTCACCCACTCATTCTGCAATTTCAATTGTACTACTGTTTTGGTGTTTGAAAACTAGGGACTGAGATCTCAGATGGTTAAACAGGGAAATGCATGCTGACTTTGACCACAGGGAGATACCAGAAGAATAGGGGAGGGACCACATTCCCAGGGCAGAGTTGGAGAAAAGTTAGTAGTAGAAAGTCAGCAGAATAAGGGACTAGACAGAATGGAAAGCTAGGGGCAAGTTAATTCTGTACATGTAATATGCAACTGTGTAAACTCAAGTCATAGCTTTTAACTAAGACAACTGGATGGCAATGAGCGTCTGTAGTTCTCTGGTTGTTCTAGTAAGAGACATCCTTAGTGACAGGCACGGTTGCCTCCTTCAGAAGAAGCAGTTTCAGGACACACAGAATCTCTAACTTCTTATACCAAACGATGTCACCATAAATTCTTAAGATTATTTGTAAAGTCAACAACAGGAGTCACTGTGCACTTACTCCTCATGTAGGATCTCTGTCCTTAATGTGCTGTACACTGAGGCTTAATGCTATAACGAGTACTCAAACATTATATTTCACTTTGTGTTTCTATGGGGGTGCAAACGATTGAAATCTTTACTTAATGTGCACTAAACTGATCTTCTGTACAAAAAAAAAAAAAAAGAAATTATCAATTCCCAACTTGACTCTCACTGGGATTAAACATGACAATAGGTCTGATCTGATTTCATCATCATTTAAAAAAAATCATCTATTATTTTTCACTTTATGTTTCTGTGTGGGAGCAAACTGTTGAAATCCTTACTTAAGGTATACTAAGCTGATCTTCTGTATATTAAGATAATCGAAAATGAATCTTGATGTGAATGGAAGGGGAGAGGGAGTGGGAAAGGGGAGGGTTGTGGGTGGGAGGGACGGTATGGGGGGGAAGCCATTGTAACCCATGAGTCGTACTTTGGAAATTTATATTCATTAAATAAAAGATTAAAAAAAAGATTATTTACATTTTATTGTTGCAATAATTAAATGTTGTACCTATTTCACAAGGATCAGCTCTCAGGTTATTGCTGTAAAGTTTACCACCATATCTGCTCCATGTTGTTTCAGAAGAGATTTTACAACAATGACGACCCACTGTACATGTGCATCTATGCTGCAGACACAAAGTGATGGCAGTCTACAAGTGTCCACCATCATTGATCTCACAGGTTCCAGGTGTTTCATATCGCCAAGGCCAACAACATTATTTCACAATTTTGTGGTTTTGAACATGCCTCAAATTCTCTACCTCTCCTTGTATTGAACTCACTCCAACTCAGAAATCTCACACCCTTCAATGTGTTTTGAAAATCACTCATGAAACTTGCTTGAATCTTACTTAGATGTCTCTTTATGTCTCCTGTTATGCACACAATGAATAGATTTGTCATAACAAGTTATAATATTCAGGTCATGTAGCAAATATGCTTATTGTTGTAGCTCCCTGAAATCAGGCAGTTAGGTGAGTATGTAGCCCAGCATAAAGGGCCCAGTGTGAGCTTATCAGTCTTCTAAAATACATGAATGTGTGGATCATGTGGTCAACAACCCCAAATAAAGTGAGGTGACACTTACCTGTCTGAGAGATAGCCAAATATCAGACTTCCCAGCAGCGACCCACTCAGGAACAGGGTTTGAACCACTGATTTTTATGACTGAGATTCACAGACGAGGTCCCACTGAAAGAGGAAGCAGCGCAGCAGAGTGTTAGGAGAGCTTCAGCCCTTTGGTGGAGCCTGACCACAAACTCCTCCATATGATACACATGAGCTCCTGCTATGGGGTTCTGCCTTCTTCTCCAATTTCATCTACCATCACTTCCCTCTGGTTGCCCACACTCTAGAAATACTGAAACTCATAGCAACCTTTCAAATGCCACTGCCTCTTTTACCTCATACCATTCTCATAATCTGTTACCACAAGTGTACAAGACTTCAGTCATTTTTCCCCTAGAGACTAAATCCCTTTATGTTCAATACATTTGTGTGGTACCATAATTAAAATCACATAAAATGTCATTTTAAGAAACCTAAGTTACCAAATTTTAAATGCTTAAGAAGTTTTTTTCCTTCATGCTGTCATCAACATGTTACTCCACAGTTTATGCTTAATTATTATAAAATGTTTTGTTTTTCTTTAAGTTTTCATTTAAATGTTTTAAAATTAGGAAACCTAAAACTTTAGTTAAGTAAAGAGTTCCCATACAACCCATTCAGAGATTCCAGTAATTTTAACATCATATATATTTGCCAGTATCCATAGCCAATCCCAATTTTTTCTGTAGTTTTAAAATCCAAGCTTCCTCCGAGACTTCCATCTCTCACAGCCTAGTAATTAACACATTAATTAGTATAGTAATTAACAACTATGCTTATACTGAGGTTTATTTTAGCTCCCATATATGAAGAAGTACATGTAATATTGTTCTTCCTGTGTCTAACTTATTTCAATTAACATGATGTCTTTCCGTTCTATCCAGTTTGATGCAAATGACAGGATTTCATTCTTTTAAAATAACTGAGTGGAAATCTATTATTTATAAATTGTGTTTCCTTTGGAAAATATTAATATATTACATATTTGAAAGTCAGAGTTACAGAGAGTTAGAGCAAGACACACACGGAGAGAAAGAACTCCCATCCACTGGTTCACTCCACAAATGGCTGCAATAGCCAGGGCTGAGATGGGGCAAAAGCCAGGATCTGGAACTCCATCTCAGGGGCCTAAGCACCTGGCACATGTTCTTTTGTTTTCCCAGGAGCACTAGCGAGAAGTGGAGCAGTTTGGCATCAACTCAGTGCTTACATGGGATGCCAGGTTTGCAGGTAGCATATTAACACACTCAACTACAATGTGGGCACCCATATTTTCTTTATTAATTCATGTGATGATGGAAACCTGGTTGATATAAAATCCTGGCTACTGTGAAGAGCAATGACCATGGGGGAACAGAGATGACTTTTTGAAAAAATGATTTCATGTCTTTTGGATATATACCCAGTGGTGAGTTTGCTAGGTCATACGGCAGTTCTCTTTCTAGTTTTTGAAGTCTTATACTGTTTTCTATAATGGCTGTACTAATTTACATTCCAGCAATAGTGGGTAAGAGTTCCCTTTCTTCCACATTCAAGGCAGCCAAAGTTACTTTTTGTCTTTTTGATAATATCCATTATAACTGGAGTAGGTGATATTTCATTGTGGTTTTGATTTTATTTTCATATCTGTGAGAGCTAGTAATATTGACCATTTCCTCAGCATATCTGTTGGCCATTTGTATTGGACACTCAACATATCAGCTAAATTGCCTCAACAGGACTGATGCCTGGATCCTGTGTATATAGGTTCTGATTTACTTGCACTGTGCATAAGTTTTGCAATCAGTACTGAGTAGCACTGAAGTAGCAAAACATTTGGAGCGTAGCACTTCAATTACTTTTGACATTTAGGGTTATCCTCTCTATGTAACATGATATAGTAGTAGGTTGAGGTATAGTTTGTTCAATTCATTAACCTTCATACTAGCACCCTTGATATTGTGGTACAGATAAGGAATTGCTAACTGCTGAAGGAATGAAGACTTTCTTCATTTGATAAAATAAGCTGGTAGAGAATTCTCAGTCCATTCTTTGTGTTAACTCCAAACACCTTCAGTTCACATCACTTCTCTATAAAGAGGTTAAATGAGGACTCTTACCTTAGTTACAATGGTGGAGGAGAAGGAGCTCTGATCATACACCCAGCCATCCACACAGGGCTCTGTGTCTGACTCACTTACATTGGGGAAGGTCCTGTTCAGATGAAGGAGCTGCCACTGGGGATGGGTGAAGCGACGGCACTTCTCTGGCCTCAGATTTGCATCCAGCGGGATGGAGACTCTCAGGAGGGCGTCTTGGCTGAAGATGTCAGAGTCATTGCCAGAGGTGCTGTGGTTGTCCAGGACGGGGACCCAGCAGCGATGCCCAGGGATGGCTGCAGTGAAGTTCTCCAACAGAATATGAGTGTATGTTATAACATTGGCGACAAAAAAGAAAGCAATCTGAAGGATCTGAAATCTCCCCAGATCTCCAGCTTGATCCAGGAGCACATCAAAGCCCATTGAGGCTGAGCAGGTTGTCTCCAAGGTGAAGCACAGTGACTATGGAGATAAGTTCAGAGGAAGATCTAGTCATCTGTTGATGGACACCTTGGTTGTGCTGTGTTATCTTGGCCCCACTTTCTCAATAGGCCTGGTCCCAGCACTGCAGAAGAGCAGAGACAGGTGTTTCCTCAAGTTCTTTGATTTTAGGTAGCCAACAGGTTGAAAAATGTCACAGTTGTAATTATTTGGCCAAGAGACCTTCAGTTATTGATGCCTGACCCTGCTAAAACACTTCTCCATGAATGATCCTGACCCCTGAACTTCGTGAGAGTGGAGCAGACTTTCAGCTGGATGGAATCTCCATATGACATAAAGTATACATGATCAATGTCTGTACTTATTTTCAGAGAAGGGTTGTTGGGACTCACAACTGAAGTGCCTGATGGTGTGTCTCTCAAGCATCAGAGCAGGGCTTTTTCTTGGTTGAAATAGATTCTGACTCAAGGTTAATGAAAAGACTCTTAGTTAAAAGAAAGCAAAGTGGAATGTTGACTGGAAATGTGAACTGCTGGTAATTGAAATTCTGCTTTAGTTAAATCATACCAGTGACAGTGAGTCTAAGATTTTTGCTAAAAAAGATAAAATAGTAATTGTTTCTCGATTGTCAGGACAAGGACTGATCAAGCCATTGTTTCTTTTTTTAATAGAAAGCTTTTATTAATTAATTATAAATTTTGAAAATACATCTTTTAGATTATAGCAGTTGCTCACCTCATACCTGCCCTCCAACCCACAAATTTGCTTAGAGTTTTCATCATGAAAATGTGCTGTATTATCAAATGTTTTCTCTGCACCTATTGAGATAATCATATGGTTTTTGTTCTGCGATTTGTTAATGTGGTGTATCACATTGATTGATTTGCGAACATTGAACCATCCCTGCATACCAGGGACAAATCCCAGTTGGTCTGGGTGGATGATCTATCTGATGGGTTGTTGCATTGTATTGGCCAGAATTTTATTGAGGATTTTTGTGTCTATGTTCATCAGGGAGATTGGTCTGTAATTCTCTTTCAATGCCTCATCTTTTTCAGGTTAGGAACTAAGCTGATGCTGACTTTGTAGAAAGAATTTGGGAGGATTCCCTCTTTTTCGATTGTTCTGAATTAGTTTGAGAAGAATGGGAGTTAGTTCTTCTTTAAATGTCTGGTAGAATTCAGCAGTGAATCCATCCGGTCCTGGGTTTTCTTTGTTGGAGGGCCTTTATTACTAATTAAATTTCTGTCTTGGTTATGGGTCTGCTTAGGTTTTCTATGTCCTCATGGTTCAAGTTAGGTAGGTTGTATGTGTCCAGGAATCTATCCATTTCTGCTAAATTTTCCAGTTTCTTGGCATGCAACTCTATGTATTAATTTCTGATGCCCCTTTTATTTCTGTGGTGTCTGTTACATTCCCTTTTTCATCTCTAATTTTACTGATTTGGGTCTTCTCTCTCTTTTGGTTGGTTGGTTGGGCCAATAGTGTGTCAATTTTTTATTTTTTCAAAAAACCAGCCTTTTGTTTTGCTGATATTCTGTAATTTTTTGGATTCAATTTTGTTGATATCTTCTCTAATTTTAATTATTTATTTTCTCATATTAGTTTTAGGTTTGGTTTTCTGTAGTTTTTCTAGATCCTTGAGATGCATTGATAGGTTATTCATTTGGTGCCTTTCCAATTTTTTGATGTAGGCACCTATTGCTAAAACCGTTTGTCTTAACACTGCTTTCGCTCTAATTCATAAATTTTGATATGTTGTGTTGTTATCCTTATTTACTTCCAGAAAGTTTTTGATTTCTCTTTTGATTTCTTCTATGACCCACTGTTCATTCAGGAGCAAGTTGTTCAGTCTCCATGTGTTTGCATATGCTCTAGGGATTACTGAGTTTCTGATTTTCAGCTTCATTCCTTGTGGTCTGAGAAAATGCATGTTATGATTTCGATTTTTTTTTAATTTGCTGAGACTTGCTTTATGGCCTAGTATGTTGTCAATCCTAGAGAAAGTTCCATGCACTGCTGAGAAGACTGTGTATTCTTCAAGTGTATAATGAAAAGTTCTGTGGATATCTGTTATATCCATTTGGGCTATACTATCAATTATATCTGCTGTTTCCTTGTTGAATTTCTGTCTGGTTGATCTGTCCATTGCTGAAAGTGGAGTATTGAAGTCCCCCAATAGTATTGTATTGGAGTCTAAGTCTCCCCTTAAATCCCTTCGCATTTCTTTTAAATAGCCAGGTTCCCTGTAATTAGGTGCATATACGTTTATGATTGTTACATCTTCCTGTTGAATTGATCCCTTAATCATTACATAGTGTCGTTCTTTTTCTCTTTTCACACTTTTTTGGTTAACATCTATTTTGTCTGATATTAAGACAGCTTGCCAGCTTTTTTTTTTGTTTTCCAAATTTCCACTTTCAGTCTGCGTGCATCTTCCTTGGAAAGATGCGTTTCTTGTATGCAACAAATAGATGGGCTTTGTTCTTTCATCCGTTCAGCCAGTCTGTGTCTTTTAACTGTAGAGCTGAGGCCATTTTCATTCAATATGACTACTGATTAGTATTGACTTTGCCCTGCCATTTTTCCCAAGATATTTCTAATATATACTTTAAACTTTTTTGGTCTTTTACTGGGAGATTTTCTTCCTTTACCTTCCTTTGTACTGATGGCTGTGTTTCTGTGTTTGTGTGTGTAACACATCTTTAAGCATCTTTTGCAGGGCTGGAAGAGTGGTGACAAATTCTTTCAATTTCTGTTTGCTATGAAAGGTCTTTATTTCACCTTCATTCACAAATGAGATCTTTGCAGGATATAATATTCTGGGCTGGCATTTTTTTTCTCTTAGTACTTGGGGGATATCTCACCATTCCCTCCTAGCCTGTAGGGTTTCTGATGAGAAGTCTGCTGTGAGTCTAACTGGAGATCCTCCGAGAATAATCTGACGTTTCTCTCTTGCACATTGGAGAATCTTTTCTTTATGGTTCACTGTGGTGAGTTTGATTACAATGTGTCGTGGAAAGAAAAGGAAATAGTATGTAGTCAGTGTCACAAGATCTTATTTTCAGTTAATAAGAGATAGATTAGGATCCATTCCCTTCAATCTCAGTTTACCATTTCGTCAAATACTGTCATATCTTTAGGTTTTGGGGGATTGGATTTCATCAAGTGAATTTTGGGAGACACACTGCATCTCATAGTGGAGCTAAACAATCAGATTATTATTTTTCCAAAGTGACTAATAGTATGTAAAAGCAGTGAGAATGAACTCAAGCAAGGCAAATCATTTAGAATTTATGAGTAAATTATATAAAAAATGACAATGAAATGTTGATAATTCACTGACTATTCACTATGCATCAATTGTGTTATAATCACTTTTAACGTTTTCTTTCTTTTATCTTACCCTTTTCTTTTTCATTTTGTCAGTGAGAATACCGTTGCAGGGAGATTATTTAACTTGTCACAGAATGGATATACAGTGTGCAAGCGATGGAAAACAATATGGGCTAAGGTGGTTCTAACTCCAAGCACAATTCTTTACACAGTTTAATTGAAACGTTGTATTTTTATTATTTATGTTCTCTTGCTGAGAATAATGAAGGTAAAGGGAGTCAAGTTGCCTGAGAGATAAAAGCAAAAATCATGGTACCTCATTCTCCATTTCTCATAGGAAACACAGGGAATTAGAGTAGAGGAAGGGAGGAAGTATCATACTAATCAGGTGAAGACATGAATATAAAATGTGTGTTCCACATTAAACAGGAGTGTCTCTCTAAAATAATTATGAATGAAGGAATATACAGAAATGTAAGTATTGATAATGAAAAACATGAGGAGGTGTAGACATTCTAATATCAGAGAAAATAGACTTTAACAAAAAAATCTTTAAAAGAGACAAATAGGGCATTATGGAATGACTAATGGATCAATTCAACAGGAAGATGAGACTATAACAAATGTATATGCACCAAAGCCAGGGTGCCTGACTATTTAAACAATTGTTAATGAATCTAAAGGGAGAGATAGAACCAGTATAATAATACTGAGCGACCTTAACATCACACTTTCATCAATGGACATATCACCTAGACAGAAAATCAACAAAGAAACAACAGAGCTAATCTACACTATGGACCAAATGAACCTAACTGCTATGTACAGAACATTTCATCCCACATTTGTAGAATACATTTTTTTGACAGGCAGAGTGGACAGTGAGAGAGAGAGAGAGAGACAGAGAGAAAGGTCTTCCTTTTCTGTTGATTCACCCCTCAATGGCCGCTGCGACCGGCACGCTGCAGCTGGCACACTGCGCTGATCCGAAGCCTGGAGCCAGGTGATTCTCCTGGTCTCCCATGGGGGTGCAGGGCCCAAGGACTTGGGCCATCCTCCACTGCACTCCCGGGCCAGAGTAGAGAGCTGGGCAGGAAGAGGGGCAACCAACCAGGACAGAATCCACGCCCCAGCTGGGACTACAACCCAGTGTGAAGAAATGTGTAGATTCCTGAACACATACAACATATCAAAATTGAGTTATGAAGACATAGAAAACCTATACCGACCAATAACCAAGATGGAGACTGAGTCAGTAATAAAGACCCTCCAAGCAAAGAAAAGCCCAGGACCAGATGGCTTCACTGCTGAATTCTACCAGACTTTTAAATAAGAACTAATTCAATAATTTGGGACATGCTCAGGCTGACTTGCCCCAAGTGGTGGAGTTGGAAGCATACCAGGGGATTCCAATTCAATCCCATCGAGGTGGCATGTACCAATGCCATCTCACTGTTCCAGGTGATCAGTTTCAGTTCACAGTTGGTCATGGTGGAGGGACTGGGAGTCAAAGGGAGCACATAGACAAGTCTAGTACCTGCTAACGCTAACCAATGGAGTAAATAAAGGGGAGAGTGATCCAACATGGGAAGTGAGATACTCAGCAGACTCACAGAATGGCAGATGTCCTAAATAGCACTCTGGCCTCAGAATCAGCCCTAAAGGCATTCGGA